AAATAAAATTCCAAACAACAGATAACAAAATGTTTCTTATCAGTACAAGGTCATCATGTTTCAAGGTCTTGCTGAACAAAGCAGCCATGAAAAATATGGGAATTGAGCTTGATGGCAAAATTCATTGAATGGGGACCACAACTTTGCACTCAAACCAAAGCCCTCTCGTTGCAAGTATCGCTTTTAGGTAAAAAATAACAGAGGCCTTAATGGTATTAGTTCCACAACTCACTATGTTCTGAACTTTTTCAAAAACTCCGGTACTGGCCATTGAATCGAATCTTCGTTTTTCTCCTTTCGAAACTCTTTCGTTTCCTTCTTTATTCTTTCCACACAGTAACCGCACAACTGACCCTCTACCTTGTAGTTACCGCATACTGCACAGATCTCGATGTCCGTTCTGTTCTTAAGCTGCTTGTGCCGATTTCTCAATTTCCGTTTGTGTACCGTGGTCCTCTTCTTAGGAACTGCCATTAATAAATATCCATCATCGGTGTGTCTTTCTGTTTGTAAGCATTCAGTCGATTCGATGGACGAAACAACGTTCCCCGACAAAGCATAACCTGGTAAGTACTGCCTTGCGTAGATAATTCGAAGATTGTACAACATCCGCTCTTCCAAAGCAAGGAAGTTTCGTAGCACACTTCCCACTTGCTTCCACGCTAAAATAGAAGCCATGTTGTTTCGAATCGAGAAGGACTGGGAAGGGCAAAATTGTAGGCAGACTGGGGTGGGTGCATGAAGGATAACTTGGTCTCCTACAGACGATTTGTGGTTTCTTTCTTTCTTTTTTTTTTTTTTTTCGTTTTTTTCTCTCTTTTCAGAACAAAGTAGTTTTCGCCTTGAAAATGTTTCACCTCTGTTCAGAAGTCGTTTCGCCATAACCATAATCGGCTATCTTCCAGTTTTACAAGAAAACTACCTAGACCATACTTTTGAATGTATCTAAATAACACTCAAGCTTCGTCTGATTTCTAAAATTAATTAAAATCTAGCTCCACTTGAAATTGTCTTTGCGATTAGATTTGAATCAGGATCCTCCAGGGTCTTTTCTCTCTTCCTTTTTAAAAGGTGGGACGCGCGCCAAATGTTTTTGTGGCGTTCATCGACACCGATCTTTCACTTCAATTTTTTACGACGCAAATTTTTCGTTTCCGGTTTTCGCGAGAGAGGGAAAACTTTGATTGAAGACAGAGATGAAGTCAATGACTGCACTTACCGTAATGATCCGATCTAGCGCCTGTGGCGCTTATTTTCTCTTGGTAGATCGAGAGAGGACATTTATTCGAACCAGGGCGCTTATTCAGGACAGGGTACTTTTTTCTTTCTTGAGAAACAGTAGAATGAGCAGAACAAAGCTTTTATTTTTATCTAAAAAGAATCGAGAGGACTGGAAAACGGACTTGTTGTCTCTGGATCATTCTTAGTAAGAACGACCAACCAAACAACAATCATCACAAAATTTTGAGATCACTCGTTTGACGAACTGTACACTCACATAAAAAAAAAAACAGTTGTAAGACTGAGACGTAAACCACTGTTTTTCTAATGAGGCTTCTAACTTCGAGGGAGGCGCTCATTGAAAAGTGGGCGCTTATTGGAACGACGTTAGTATATCGGATCATTACGGAATGCCTTTTCGGAATGCCTTTCTTGCTTTCAAATTTTACAAATGCTACTAATCTGAGGGGGGGGGGGGGTAAGATTTTCCTGTCTGGAGAAGAAGCTTTTCCTTTTTTTTGAGAATCATTCAATCTCCTTAACAGAGAGAACTGTGATCTAGCTAATTTGTACAAGACGAAGAGAAGAGAACCGCCAGACTCGTGACAGAAATTGTTCACCTGTTTAGAAAAATTGTGAAAGGGTAAAGATTACGAATTTGAGCATTACCAATATAACCTCTTTCTTACGTACTGGTAAACATACTTCTTAACGATTTTTTTGCCCAAGCATCAACTGGGAGAGAAAGTTTCTAAAGAAACTATGGCATTAGGTTGGTGAGGGAGGGAGGAGGTAATAAAACTTAATTCGGTTTGATTAACTGAGTTCATAACTGTAAATTGGCCACCGTAGAGAATTACTAAAGTTGGCGTTTCGAGCGTTGGCCCTTGCTCAGAACGAATGATGAAGGACTAACGCTCGAAACGTCAGCTTTAGTAATTCTCTACCGTGGCTAATTTACAGTATCAACTCGTTCGCATAAAACTAAATTTTCCCCTTTGCGAGAACTTCTTAGTGATCGACGTGAACACGACTTTATCCTATTGTCTCAGTAAATTTAAAGTTGTTTTTACTAGTTTTAAATCAAATTTGGAAGTCTTGTTTGATTTTTCTATGAGCGATGCGCTTTTGATTCAGTATACTAGTTTTCAAACCAAGATGCAATTTCGCATGAGGTGACTTAGAGCGCATATATCTTTTGTTCTGCTTCTCTTTAAGTTTGTAAAGCACGGTTCCATGCATGCACGAGTTGTACAAACTTTAATTAGAGTCAAGCACGTACCTTGGTAAATGAGAGAAAATGTGGAACCCTCATCCCTCTTTTTCTTTCCAATTGCAATTGATTGCTGTTGTTGCTAAAAAAATGTTCAATCTAACCTTGTAAATAAGGATCATAATAAGCATAATGACGTCGAAGCGCGCAACCTACAGCGAAAGAAACCGTGATAATTAGCCATCGTTATTCGCTAGTAATGATGATGATGGTTGTTGATGGAAGTCTCCTTAGTGGGATGTGCACTTAATAAAAAAGCGACATTAGCTGCGTGTCAACGCGGAACGTTTGTAAAGGTAATTGCACTAAGCTAACTTGGGGATGACGAATGGAAAGAGGACCAAAGGGTTAACGGAGATCAAGTTTCTCAAACTCTTCCCAAAAGGAAAATGCCTAGGAACGAGATTAGGTCTCTCGCAAAATGGCTCCGCGCGCTTTTATTGAAAACATTTTTAAAAAGCATCCCCACACACAATAGCGTAAGCAGAGCAAAAAAAGCTACAAGGCCTTGCGCGAAACGAAGTGAAAGAAAAAAGGATAAACTGATGAAAAAGCGGTGATCATTTCGTAAAATGCTTAATTTCACTAAGTTTTGAATGGCTACACTGAAAATGTCTGGCTCCCAGTCCGTATATCATGACCTCGAGTCAAAATGTTTTCCTGTGCCTTCCTCAAATGGTCTTGACAACGTTCCGGTATCAGCTGGTGCTACTTCTGGGCTGGATGTGCCTTCCTACTACTCCAAACTTAGGATCCTCCATACTCCGATGAGAGAAAAGGCCTGGCATGAGTGGAGCTACAACCGAGGGCGGAGAGTCAACCTCAGGGCTATTATCTGGACTCTGTTTAGCCTTGGTCTTCACGTTCAACTGATTCGGTCTTATTCCGTTACTCATTCTTTCGTCCGGTCCAAGAATTTTCTGAATGGTTGCAAACAACACTAAGACAAACAGACTGACAATTCCATAAGCTCTAAATGTCATTTTGGTACCAAACTGGTGTATAAGCACACCACCTATTATCGCGCCGCATCCCCTCCCTAAGCCGTGATGTAATCCTTGTAAAATGCCTTGAGCGGAGGTCGCATATCCAGGGGGTGCAATGCGACCTACATAGCTTGTGCAAGCTGCCCACACTGCAGCATGAGTCATCCCTTGCAAAATTTCCAGAGGAAGCACTAACCATGGATTGTTTAAGAACGAAATGTACACAAAACGAATTAAATTCCCCAAGAGGCCGACGTAGAGGACGCGAATGTGACCAACGCAGCCAATGAGGCGACCCACATTGAAATAACACGCGATTTCCGAAATATGATCGATCAACGAAGCTATCCCGAACAGAGTCGGCGGACCACCGAGGTCTTCAAGATGCCAGAAAAGAAAAGTGAAAATGAGGCCGACTCCAAAACCTAAGAAAAATGTCACGAGTAAAAACGTACCGTATCGCACTGATAGCAGAATGCGGTATAGTCCGGATCCTTCACCCCGAAGTCCTTCGCCCAATTCTAATTTTTCTTTGTTTGGGAAGGTGAAGCGGGTAGCCACAGTCAAGGCGCACACCATGAAAACGAAAAAGAAATAAAAGCCAACCGTGTAATTTTGGCTGATTATTTCACCACAAACTTCAACTCCACTGATGCTATCGATGACAAAACCTAAAAGAAACATGGCTGTTCCCCATCCAAGGCTTCCCCACATGCGCTGGCGCCCGTAGAGTTCTTTGTTCTCTCCTAGCATCCCAAGAGTTGCTGAGTCTGCCAGTGTTATGGCTGGAGCCGAGAAAAATTCTCCCACGACCGTTAAAAAGAGTAGGACTAAAAATACTTGGTGTACTCCTTCACGATCATAAACTAAAGAACTCTTGGCTTTGAATTCGGGCTCTTTTTTGTCCGGGGTGTTAGGCGCGAGGAAATCTTTGATCTCTGATGTCTCTCCGTCAACAATTTGCGATACATTTTCGGTGAGAATGAAATATTTCCTACACGTAACAGGTGCTGGTTTTATAAAAGCCAACGAGAAGTTGAAGGAAATCCAACACATCAGCGAAAATATCATCAAAAGTTTCCGCTTGTTCAAACGGTCGGCCAGAGATCCTAGAAGTGGCGCGCTGAAAAATTCCACCATCGGACGGCAGCCAACTAGAATGCCGCTTAAACTTGGGTTCATTCCCAGCTGCTTAAAATACACTCCTAGAAGTGGGAAAAACGAACCAACGGCTCCCCAGTAACAAAAATAAAATACCTTGGACACTAAAAGCTTCCTGTTCACGCGAATGAACTTAGGAAAAAATGAATTTCTCATTTTCTCGTTGTGTTCAATTTCGGAGTTTACCCCATTGGACTGCGCCATCACTAGAAAGGCGCAAATTTCATAATTAGCCAAAAATATCACTTTGGATTCAAGCGTGGTGTATCTTTAAACAAAAGGAACACGGTAACTGTTTAATTTTTAAAGTTCTTGCAGAGAATTAATTGCTAGTACCGACTAGTGAAACTATTTGAGTGGTCTGTGGTTGTATTGTTCTAAGCTTGAAACATGTAGTACTTTCACCTCGGTCGACCGGCACGATTTTTTAAAAATGTAGGTTTCGATTTTGAGAAGATCTCAACCGTTCCTAACGGTTAAGTTTACGCGAAATCGTTCATGAAAATGATATCACCTTTTAAAAACTATACAGTTTGTATAAAATTTTAAATGAGAGAAACTGTAGTCATGCAGTCAGATTAAAACGTCCCAAGAAGTTTCATTGCAACATAATGACTTCTCGAAAGACGGCTTGTCTAAAGAACAAGTGCAAAAGATGACAATTGAACTAAGAAAAGTAACTCTAAAAAACCGTTCCTCAAAATTTACTTTCACATGAAACCGTTGCGAGGTTTTCACGGTAGAGAAAACCTTTTTTCGGTATCGCGTTTAGAATGCTGTTGTACCAGATGACAGATGTCTTAATTCCACCTAAATATGCCTGCTCGAGAGTTATCCGCCGCTTTATTGGTTTCGTTCTACTTTGCGTTAGGATTTGGCTTGAAGGCATGCACTGCCCTGTGAACCAATGGGATGCCACACGGAAACTAAATGCGACTTCGTTAATCGCGTTTAATTTTTACTCGTACTTCAGAAAATTCGCTTGTTTTCACTTTGAGCTCTCATTGGCTCCTCAACCTTTTAACCCTTAAGGGTGACTAGCATCTAATTTCTCCTTACAATATCACCCCTGAATCATGCAGTAAGGTCATGAGAATAAATAAAATTATCAGGAACAAAAGAAGCTGTTGATTGTTACACAAATTCTTCTTGTGGAGAATACCTTTACCTTTGTTAGGGTGTAACGAGTTAACAAATTTACCTTTGTATTAATTTGGGTGTTACGACACAGGGTGTTTACCACCAGGCCAAGAAATCCGGAAAATTTCGAGTTGAGGTCAAATGGTAAGGTTACTTTCCGGAAATTCCGTTGGGAAATTTTGGAAGACATATAGAGGTACTTCTCTTTTTTTTCCTTCTTCGGGAGGAACGGCGGAAAATACTTTACCACTTGAATGAATCTTCGGTTTCCAGATTAGAAAGGGGTGAAACACCTGATAATGGTACACGTAATCTCATCGGTCGAATTCGGAAAATCGCGCTCCATTATACAACGGTTACACCGACCGGATTTTCAATGTTAAAAAGACCCATGAACAATGAGCGCCCTAAACCAAATTTAAGTCGTTTCATTACTGGTTATTCAACTTTATTACAACTATCATCATTTTTGTTTATCTTCACAAATATCATCCCCGTATACTACAAGCAAACTGAATTGCTGTGACGAGTTATCGCCTAAAGTGTTCACGCTTTTATAACTTTTGAAGCCTAAGACGTTACGACGTAAACTAAAAAGCCAAATGCAAGTGTCATAAAAATTAGAATGATTACTGATGCAGCACTGAACAGATGCCTGTAATTAAATAATCCGTACCAGCAGAGTATAAGAATAATTGCCAAGATAGGAAGGAAGAGCTTTGAAGGGTCCATTGAGAATATTAACCCTTCCTCATCTTGTCTACCCGAATGTTCCCCTGGTACCCTCTGTGCATCAGATATTTGGGCGTGGATCACGGACTGATCGGCGACTCCATAAAAAGAGACTGGAGCAGAGTCATCTTGAAGAAGTTTTCCGTTGTATATGAGACGCACCCTCATCCCATTGTTAAGTTCATTCTGAAAACATAACCTGTAAACAAAAGAGAATTAGAACAATTTTTCACTGAGTTTTGAGAAAGTTATCTGAGATTGCTTTGTTTCACATCACTCACTCTGTGATTGCTCCAGAAAACTTGCACCACTCTCTAAACCAATCACAATCAAAACTAAAACCAATCATCGCTTGGTCACCCATGTTTCCCCACGCTTTAAGCAATTTGGTAGGTTTTACTGTTAGATTTCATTGGCCCTTGACTCTTTAACTGCCAAGATCTCATTAGTAATTCACCTTACTGTCTTCCAAATGATTCTCATCATGTAAGTTTGGAGAATTTGGTATTAGATCAATTAGTAATCCCATACTTGATATTTTTCTTCATTCTCATCACTTGTCTTCATAATATTGTATAGATATAGTAAGGAGAAATTCTGTCTTGGTCACTCATGGGAGTCAAATTTTACTTTACCTTTTCAATTCTCCAACTGCTATACTTCTATTTACAGATAAATTCCTTTGATTCTCCATGAATTTGACACGGATTGATATAGGTTCTTCAGTGGGACCTTGTTGGCCACCAGAATCAGATGTGCTTTGAGACGGTCCTCTCTGGCGCACTCTGTCATTCTCTGGTTGTGACGCTGACCTATCATGAGTATCATCATATAGTGGTGTTGTTGTTGTTGTTGTTTGACTGAGTCCAATATTCTCTGAGTCAACCTCTTGTGCTGATCCTAATGTCAATTAAAAAGGCAATATAAAACCAAAAAAGGCAATACAAGACAATTTGGAAAGTCTAAGAAACCTCAAAGTGTATCACTTGAGGAACTTCTCTAAGCTCCCTTCAAATGCTATTTGATATTTACTTAATTAAATAATATCACATTTAATTCACCCTTAAACTACTAAGAGTGATAAGAATCTAATTTATCCCAAAAGCAACCACCCTGAAATAAATATTTAGGTCATTATAATAATGGAAATAATTGAGAGGTCAAGAAGCTCTTGATTATTGCGGAAATTCTTCTTGTAAAGTATCTGTTGATGTTAGTTTGAGAATTTGTCAATGGATTAACTATTAATCCCCTTATTAATATATTTTTCTTTATTCTTATCACACATCTGCATGGTACTGTACCTGATATTGTAAGGAGAAATTCTGTCTTGGTCACTCATGGGAGTGAAAGGGTTCATATTCTTAAATGCAACAACATCAAATGCTATTGACTGATTTAAAACAAAATATGCAAAAGCTGGAGGGGGGGGAGGTTAATTCTCTCTGAGATTATATGTTTGGCTGCTATATGGACGCATTTTGATTGGTTCTTACTTATGATCTATTGGAGGAGAGATGCATAGATGACATCACCATTAAACACATTTTGCTTCTTTATCATACAAAACAAATAGATTCCATATTGTCATGGGTCTGCGCAGTAATGGATCAAAGAAGACGTAAAGATATAGTAAGAAATAACATAAACAACAAAGTAAGAAATAATTATTCCAAGGAACCAAGGATAGTAACTGATATGCTAAATAAATTGGAGTGGCCATCTCTTGAATGGAGATGAATTCCCTCTTGATTATCGATATTTCATTGCGTTGTTTATCATACTGTTGATATCGATAAAGATTCATATCTAACTCCTTTACTACACACTTTAAGGAGTAGTAACTCCAAAACCTTCATAAGACCACATTCAAATTGCAATCAATATGCATACAGCTTTTTTCTGTGGTCAGTCAACCAATGGAATAGACTTGCAGGTGACATTGTAAAATTAATATAGATGATAACTTAAAATTTAAGGCCACTCTGCACAGCCATCTTATTGAAACTGGGAATTGGTTTTAAAAAATTTCTCATATCACATATATATCTTTATTACTAGTGTTTATTTATTACTTATTTATTTATTATTTTGTTGTATTTATATTGATGTGATGCGTTGATACACTTTATCAATTAATAGTAGAAGTAGAAGTAGAAGTAGAACATCAGTGACACACTCGATCAGCTGTACCTCGCGTGGCACCTTTCTATTCTTGCCACATGTTGATGTCATCTGTGACCTAACTACTGAACAGAGGAATGGCAACATAAAATCTACTTGTAAAATCGATAATCGATCTTGGCAAGATTTCCATATCGTCCCTTCTTTCATTAAGCATGCGGTTCGTTGATAAAAGAAAACAAAGGCAATAGACTACGACAAGCACTTGGCTTTGTTTAAAGTGGTTCGGGGTTATACGGAAATCTTTCTTCGATCTTCATCGCTTAGGCCTACACACCCTGCTGAACACCAGCTAGCAACTTGCAGTTGTGGCCTGCTGCTGCTTGGATGTTCAGGCGACGTGTACGCATATGGCGATAAGAAGTTGAAAGTGCAGGTGTAAATAAAATTTCCTACCTTGTTCTTGACTTGTGTTCTCATCGGCACGATCAGTAGGGTGAAAAGAACCACTTTGGTTAGGATCTGACGAAATGTTTGATTCAAATACATGTTCTGTTGCGGTGCGATTCGTTGCATTTGAATTATACACCAAGTGAACTAAAAGCATCGTCAAAAGAGTCGCCAGAACGCTAACCACGAAAAGAACTTCATTATCAATTCCTTCGATAATAGAAGGTGCCATTATTATGGCTTTTTAGGTATAGGATTGTGATAAAACCGAAAAAATTACAATAAGCTGTTCCGTTTAAAAATAAAACAAAAATTTCGCCCAACTTTTAACTACATAGGACATTTTGATCTAATCACATGACAAACTTCCTTTCCAAGTGTATGCTGGCTGGGAAGTCTAGTGCGGGCTCAAGCTGCGGACGTGCCAACCCCCGATCTGGACGCAAGGACTAACTGGTCTGCCCTCAGAGTGTTAGCATTTGTCATAAAATCCAGGTTGGAAAATTTAAGAATGATGATCCTTAAGAACAATCGCTGTAGCGTGATTTCCCTTCCTGTAACTTCTGGACAGACTCGTTGCACGGGATGGGTTGTCGTTTTCTAAACCAGTCTAGAAAACTGTTTCACAAGATCGAAATTAATGGGTATAATCTGTTCAGCTAAATTACATTTTAGCCTTTGATCTCTAAAATCAAGTACACCTCTCCTGATTTCAGATTATTGAAATATATTTCT